CCATTGCACATGAAATAAAGTTTCAAAGTATTTAACTTCAAGTTACGCTCTTACCCCATTTTCGGGGAAAGTGCAGAGTAGTTGACATTTTAAACAATTTCCTATCAAAATCAAAATGTACAAGGAAATTTAAGGTCCTAGTTAATATTAATTAAATAGTAGTAATTGTGCAAAGCGTTCGATATCGACAGCGTTAAGTATTTACATAGCAGACTGAAAATACTTACGTTTAAATACCAACTTTACAAAAACCAGTCTGCACTTACCTCGCTTCACCTTACTTCTAAAATTTCTACATCCCCAAATCTCTATATTTCCAAATCCCTAAATATCTATATCCATTTACCTTCAAATCCTTAGATCTTCAAATTCCTATACTTCAAATAATTTCTAAATTCAGAGTTTAACCTTGAAAATCCCAGAAATCCCTAAAAATCTGTAATTGGGAGCCAGCTCTGTATCGTTCCGTGTTTTTAGGAAGGATTTGCTGTTGACTGTACATGTGCAGAATAATAGAGAGCTATAGTTAGATGCTTACTTGTTTAATCCGTCGAGGTTCAGGATGCCAATCTCTCCGAAGAAGTCCCCGGCCTTCATGGTAGTTAAAACTCTTCCTGTTTCGCTGATCACTTCTAAAATTCCATCCGCTATTATGAACATCTCTCTGGCTACTTCACCCTTCCGGCAGATCGAATCACCGGGTGTAAATATGTAAGCCTTCATTTTCAGAACGAGATCGTGCAAAAATTCTGGTTGACATTCCTGGAAACAGAGAACAAGGATTGATGTGAATCGAATCATTGAAAACTTATCATTTTTAGTTTTTTTTTTTCGGATGTTTCAATTTTTGAGAAGTCGAAACGGGTGTTCAAATTATAAATTAATGTACACATTAAATCTTCATGTTGATGAAAATTAATGGAAATTTCAAGAAATTTTGAAAAGTTTTTTTTCTAAAATTTTCTAGTTAAAAAGTTTCATGATTTTTTAAAATTATTTTCTAAATTTATTTTCTTTTTTTATTATTTATATTCATTTCTATTATCTACTATTTTCTATTATTTATTATGATTGTTTTTTATATTGTATATATTAACAGTATTGCTCATTTGAATATGTTTAAATGTCACTATAAATTTAGTTAACAAATATTTATTTTAAATTGTATTAAGTTAATAGTTTGTTAAGTGCAAACGGTTAAAATTAGGAAGTTAGATCAGAGCTTCCTGTAACGTCGAAACCTCGAAACCTCTCAAAACAGAAAAAGTTTCGAGAATTTGAAACTTTGTACAATTTTTGTAATTCGATACTCTCGAAACGCAGGTAAGAAGACTTTGATAATTTCGTAATTTGGTAATTCAGGAATTTAGAATATTACAAGAGTTGAAGTCTACAAAAGCAAAAAATTTAAAAATGCAAAATTTTAGAAATGTAGAAATTTAGAAGTCAAGAAGTTTAGAAGTTTAGAAATATAAAAATTCGAAAATTTGCAAATTCTCTAATTTAACACGCTCGAATAAAATATTAATGTTCACTTATAAAATCATTTAATTATAAACAATTTAATACTTAATAATTTCGGTCTAAAAATGAATTATTAATTAACCTTAAATTAAGTTGAAGCTTATTTTGCAATCCTCATCTGAAGGATCCTTGTTTACAAGATAGGAACATCATTTTTTCGTTCGTTGCTAAACTTATTAACGCCTGCTTATTTCTCGGACTAACGTATTAGAAAACGTTGACACTGCTTTTGTCACACGCGCCACAGCCACGTTTTGTTCGTCTTTGATCAAAGAGTCGTGAATTGAACCGGAGATTCAACGCGCCTATAATTTCCTGTTTCATCGAGCGATTTCTCTTTATTCACGCGATTTACAATAGCCTTCGTTAAAATGCGATCAACGAAACCGTATAGATCCACGGTAAATACACAGTAGACGAGACAGTAATAAAAGAACATTCGAAAATTCGATTTTTATTGAGGCGCATGGTAGCAATTAAAAGTCACATAAATGTATTAATTATAGATGATCGTAATGACGGGTTGCGGACAAATTTTTTCCTTTTCGCTGCAAATGTTTCGCCTTGTGAATTTTTTACTCACTTCAACGTTAGAATATTTGGAAAATGTGGTATCAAATTTTTTATCGATCGATGTCAATTCTTATAAAATAAAGACAATGCTTGGAGTTTGAATAATTTTTAAATTACTCATTTATGTAGATTTTGGGAGTACTGTAAAATCTTTCAATCTAAAAATGTAGAAAGTAGACTTTCAGAACTGTTAATTTATAAATTTGAAGATAAACTTATTAATTTACAAATTTATAAATTTTCAGATAAAATTACAAATTTTAAACCACTGGACGTACCTTCTTATGGAATAATTCTGGTTTCTGTACCTTTAAAGGGTGATTCGAAATAGAACAAATATTAAAATGTTACTTTCGTCCTCGCTCTTCGTTATATCATTGCTTCAACATTAAAAGCCTTCAATTGCTTTCCTTTGCTTATCCTATAAACAATTAATTTAACCGAATTTGCAGTATTAAAATTTAAGTTTATAAAATGTATCAAAATTTAATAATAACCCTCTGTCCCATCATTGGTCAGATGCGTCAGTAAGAACTAACTATTCATTGCTACAATATTAAAGCGAATAGAGAAAGTTGAAATGTTATTCCTAAATTGTATTAAGCGATTCTTAACTATGCAAATTGTAATTCGACTTAAACTTCAAATTGAAGCGCATTAAAAATTCGATTAAAGTGATACTTGAACTGTGAGTGCGTCATGAGTCGGACTCGTCAAAATATGACATGGGGTTAATAAGATTAGCAGTATGTGAGCCTACGTATTCACCAAAGGAACATCTAACACTAAATACACACATAACTTAAAAATAAAACAGAAAAATAAATGAACAAACGATAGATTATTATTATGCACATTAATTCTTTGTCTCGATGAAAATCAACAGGGATTTCAGAAAAAGCGTTTTGATCAATTTTTAACGTAAAGAGGAAGACTTATGAATGGACTCTCCTCTAGTTATCCACTTTTATACCTAAAAATTGGACTTTTATATTTACTTTATTTTTACTTCACTACATCTAGTCAATAAATGATATTTTTATATGCAAATTTTATTAAATAAGACAATTTCAGCGTGCTTGATAAATATTTGTGGTAAATCAGAATTACTTCTGATCGATCACAGTGACTAAAGATTTCATAAATAAACCATCCATTTCTTCATTCGAAGTTTCATTTCATATAAATTAAAATGTTCGGATTAAAGTGTCATTCGATTTATCGCTGGCAAAACAATAGCAAAGGAAGCTATCCGCTTTACTTTCCTGTGGATGACAGAATATCTCCGCGCATATTAGCTGCTGCGAACGCATACACAAAGTGGCTGAAATTAGCAATCCTCTTATTGATTCCTTGAAGACGACCTTGTGGCTTCTGCTCTCACACACGATATTGAGATGAAGGTTTCTCAGTGCATACTACCGGATGCTTGGCATCGTCAAAGATACACAGACGCATTCGTGCGTGCTTGTTAACCATAAATAAATATTGGAAAAGTAAGGTTATGACGTAACTCATTCAGTGATCCTACCCTTTCATTCTTTTGTTCTATACAGAATTTTTCCTTTTATTTGTTTTACGTACAGATTACTGTTTACTACTGTTTCAACTATTTCATGGCGTTCTCATGTAAAGATATACTAAATACTTGGTGTGTCTAAATTCGGTTAGTTTTGTATGTTTGTAAACGTCCTCATGTCGTCACAATTATAGATTACATTTCTATTTAATATCGAAGATATTTTATACAACTTAAAAATTATAATTTAATTTAAAGAACTGCGTAAGCATGCTATGATTTTTTTCCAGGAACAAATAATTTGTGATCAAAACGGTTAAGAGGGGAATCAGTTTTGCTGTAGATGTTAAAGTCCGTATATAGAAATCGTTATTGTAATAAAATTGTCACTATGTGATTACAATACTACGTTTTTGTGTTCACGACACATCGAAGTCTGCGAAATAAACAAATAAATATGTAATATGTAGGCTGTGGGTTTCATACATTGCATACCTTTTTATAAAGACTTTACCTTTGATGTACAGTAAATGCATAAAAATCCACAACAGCGATTAAGTCTATGTGAACAATTGAATAGTATTCGCAAATTATAAAATCAATTTTCTTTTAAAGATATCGAAGAAATATATACGGTGGTTATCTATTATTAATTAATTATTATTGGTTATTAATATTTCATGTATATATTTTTGTCGATTGCATGATACAAAAAATATTTTGTGTACAACTCGAATGGTATCAAAATACTGTTACGATGAAAAGAATAAAAATAAATAAATTGCACATATTTGGTTCCTGAAAAGTGTGTATATTTCTTTTTTATAAATTGAGAAATAAAATTAATTACGATGCTGAATATCGTTCGTGGTGTGACGATTTGTCTCAAGGATGACATTGTTCCTTTTTTTTTACGTTGAAACGGCTACAATTTTTGGTGTGATCGTAGCTTGGGCAACTGCTGATCATCAATTTTTCTGCGAGCCAACAACGAATACGTCAGTTGATTCTATGTATCTTCGTGATTGGAATTCGATTCTATCCACTTCTGTTTTATACGTTTCTCGACAATTTACAACATTCTTTAAGTATTTTATTTGTGCTTTCTTTTTTTATGTTGTTTTGATATTCTTTTGCCTTTTTACGTGCCACTGTGCTTATATTTTCTATACTTTCACCTATTACTTCTTCTAGCATCAACCTTATGTATTTTGCTTGTACCTTTTCGATTTCTATCATTTCCGCCGCACCCCATATCTCGGCCCCGTACAACAAAATATTATCAACTAGCTGCTTGAACATCATCATTCTTTCTTTAATATTATCCCCGAATTTTCGTTTACCAATGTCCCATGCGTACGCCATGACTACCATTGCTCTCTTCGCTGTTTCTTTCGCATGCATGGTCCATCCTCCATTTTTCTCAAAGTGGAAATTTAAATATTCATAATCCTGTACTTCATCTATGTCCCTTTCTCCGAATGTCCACTTCTCTTGCCTTTCGACTGCACTCCTCGTGAAAACCAATACTTTTGATTTCTCACAATTTATGTTCAGTTTTTTTCTATTTAAATAACTATTCAAGTGTTCCATGAGTGTTTTTAAGTCCTCTGGTCTTTTCGTGATTAGAACTATATTGTCTTCATTTACGAACGAACGTAATTTTATTTCCTTAATTTCTAAATCTTCTATCTTTGCTTTCTGCATGTCTCGCTCTAGATCTGCGATATACAACGAGAACAGGATTGGGTTTAGAGGGCATCCCTTTTTTAAACCTTTAACCGTTTCTGTTTCCCTATATATATCTCTTATTCTAGTTCGTAAAGTCTCACTTATTTCATTCGTTTCCAACATTCTTTCTAATTCTCCCCTATCTACTGTATCAAACGCTTCGGTGAGTTTTACGAAAAACGCGTAAACTGAACCACATACCTTCTTCAATTCTCTTTTTATTATAAAATCCAATATAAATATATTGTCTACAGTACCGTTTGCACTCTTGAATTCTGCTTGAGTTTCCGGAATTATGTATTTTGTCTTCAATTCCGTTTCTAATTTTTCTTTCAGACACATCGCATATATTGTATATATACTCTTTAAAGTAAGGATTCTTGTGTTAGTTTCATGCTTAGCTTCTTTTATGTCGATTGGCACCTGCCAACTTTCTAAAGATAACCTTCCTCCCCATATATTATTGATTATTTCTGTTAATACATTAAGATCAACAGTTGTTTCCATGTTCAATTTCGCTATTTGATTCCTTATTTCGTCCTCCGTAATTTCCATTGCGATTTCTTCGTTTTCATGTGTAGTGAAATCGTTTTCTACCGTCTTAGTCGTCTGTACTCGCGTCTCTTTTTCCGCGTATATGTACTTCCAAACTTGATCTTCGTTTTTGATTTGTTGTAATTTCTTTCGTTCGTACTCTTTATCTATTTGATCACATTCTTTTTCTTGATCTTGATTTTCTATTTCTATTATAAGTGGACGATGAAGTTGCCAAAATACTTTACAGTCCACTTCGAAATTCATGATTCTATCCCGTGCGTTCACGTTTGCAATAACGTAATCTATCACTGATCTATCTTTTGCTGTTATAAATGTAAATTCGCCATTGTCACCTTTTAAGTTACCGTTCATTATACTCCATGCGTTCTCGGCCACCATTTCTAACATTATGTCCCCAATTCTATCTTTTATCGTATCTTGCGACTTTCTAGGCTGTTTAGTTTCAGTCGGGCCCCAAATAATTGCTCCCTCCGATGCCGTTCTCGCGTGAAAGTTTCCTCCTATTATTACATTCCTACTTTCTGTAAAACTTATTATATCCTCTAGTTGTGTTTTCAGTGCAAAGACGTTGAATATCGTTAAAATCCTCCATTCGTCTTTTCCGATAATCGGTCTTCTTTCCTGGATCCCTATCACCTCTTCGATATCTACTTCGTTTTCTTCTATGTGACACTTTACTCCCGTGTATATACGAACTCTTGCTTTCAATCCTGTGAAGTGGAGGAATTCCGCTGTGGAATGTTTCCATTTAAATGTTTTTGGTAATAATACCCTGGTGTCATACTCTTGAAGAATCTCTAGCCATTCCTTAATAATTCAAAAACAAAGCTTCAAATCCCATTTTTGCAAAGGGAAACCTTATTCAGAATCACGTCAGCTACCCCCCATTTCAGGGACCTTCACTAGTTGTGAGATACTCTGTGTAATAAACATTTAATTGCATATATTTGGTCCCTGAAAAGTGTACATATTTCTTTTTTATAAATTGAGAAATAAAATTAATTACGACGCTGAATATCGTTCATGGTGTGACGATTTGTCTCAAGGACGACATTGTTCCTTTTTTTTACGTTGAAACGACTACAATTTTCGGTGTGACCGTTGTTTGGGTAACTGCTGATCATCAATTTTTCTGTGAGCCTACAACGATCACGTCAGTTGATTCTATGCATCTTCATGATTGGAATCCGATTCTATCCACTTCTGTTTTATAAGTTTCTTGACAATTTACAACATTTTTTAAGTAATTTATTCGTGCATTCTTTTTCTATGTGTTTTTTATATTTATTTGCCATGTTACACGCTACTGTGCTTATATTTTCACCTATTGTTTCTTCCAATATCAACCGCATGTATTTTTCTTGTACCTTTTTAATTTCTTCCATTTCCGTCGCACCCCATATCTCGGCTCCGCACAACAAAATAGTTTCAATTAGCGGCTTGAACATCATTATTCTTTCTTTAATATCATCCCCGAATTTTCGTTTTCCAATGTCCCATGTGTGCGCCATGGCTACCATTGCTCTCTTCGCTGTTTCTTTTGTATGCATGGTCCATCCTCCATTTTTCTCAAAGTGGAAGTTTAAATATTCATAATCCTGTACTTCATCTATGTCTCTTTCTCCGAATGTCCACTTCTCTTGCCTTTCGACTGCACTCCTCGTGATAACCAATACTTTTGATTTCTCACAATTTATGTTCATTTTTTTTCTATTTAAATAATTATTCAAGTGTTCCATGAGTGTTTTTAACTCCTCTGGTTTTTTCGCGATTAGAACTATATTGTCTTCATTTACGAACGAACGTACCTTTATTTTCCCAATTTGTAAACCTCTAATCTCTGCGTTTTGCATGTCTCCCTCTAGATCTGCGATATACAACGAGAACAGGATTGGGTTTAGAGGGCATCCCTTTCTTAAACCTTTAACCGCTCCTGTTTCCTTATATATATCTCTTATTCTAATTCGTAGAGTTTCACTTATTCCATTCGTTTCCAACATTCTTTCTAGTTCTCCCCTATCTACTGTATCAAACGCTTCGGCGAGTTTTACGAAAAACGCGTAAACTGAACCACATACCTCCTTTAATTCTCTTTTTATTATAAAATCCAATATAAATATATTGTCTACAGTACCGTTTGCACTCTTGAATTCTGCTTGAGTTTCCGGAATTATGTCTTTTGTCTTCAATTCCGTTTCTAATTTCTCTTTCAGACACATCGTATATATTGAATATATAATCTTTAAAGTAAGTATTCCTGTGTTAGTTTCATGCTTAGCTTCTTTTGTGTCGATTGGCACCTTCCAACTTTCAAGAGATAACCTTCCTCTCCATATATTATTGATTATTTCTGTTAATACATTAAGATCAACAGTTTGTTCCATGTTCAATTTCGCTATTTGATTCCTTATTTCGTCCTCCGTAATTTCCATTGCGATTTCTTCGTTTTCATGTGTAGTGAAATCGTTTTCTACCGTCTTAGTCGTCTGTACTCGCGTCTCTTTTTCCGCGTATATGTACTTCCAAACTTGATCTTCGTTTTTGATTTGTTGTAATTTCTTTCGTTCGTACTCTTTATCTATTTGATCACATTCTTTTTCTTGATCTTGATTTTCTATTTCTATTATAAGTGGACGATGACCTTGCCAAAATACTTTACAGTCCACTTCGAAATTCATGATTCTCTCCCGTGCGTTCACGTTTGCAATAACGTAATCTGTCACTGATCTATCTTCTGCTGTTATAAATGTAAATTCGCCATTGTCACCTTTTAAGTTTCCGTTCATTATACTCCATGCGTTCTCGCCCACCATTTCTAACATTATGTCCCCATATCTATCTTTCAGCGTATCTTGCGACTTTCTAGGCTGTTTAGTTTCAGTCGGGCCCCAAATAATTGCTCCCTCCGATGCCGTTCTCACGTTAAAGTTTCCTCCTATTATTACTTTCCTACTTTCTGCAACACTTATCATTTTTTCTAGATCTCTTCTGACACCCATGTATTTGGAATGTAACGTTAAAATCCTCCATTCGTCGTTTCCGATAAGCGGTCTTCTTTCCTGTATCCCCAGCACCTCATTGATATTTACTTTGTTTTCTTTTATGTGACACTTTACACCTGTGAATATGTAGTAAGTATCTGCGTTTTCGAAGGAAGGTGAGTTTCCACGTATGAAACTTTGTTTTCTCCATTTAAATGTTTTTCGTAATGAAATATTGTTGAGCCTCGTTATTTCCTCCTGTGCCTTTGCTTCTACTACTATTCCTACGATGTCAAACTCGTCTATGTAGTCCCAAAATTTGTC